AAGCTGACAAAAAAACGAAAAATCGCTGGGCATTAGAAACTTCTTTTTAAAAGCTCCATGCATCGAATTTCGAGTTATTTTGTTCAGTTCTACCATCGCCCACGGCACCAAAGTCGGTATGTAAAGTAAACAGCTGGTAAGCTCAAATCAATTTAATTTAGGCCGTCCGAGGTTCCCTCCTCTAAGGGGTCCAGTAATTGATACCAGTGGGATATATTCAGTTATAGATACACTAACTTCCACGTCTGCTACCCTAGAGTCTACTCAGAGATGAAGTCCGGGGTCGAAATGGTGTTTTGTAGCGCTGACTAGTGACCGTGGAGATGTGAAGTGCAACGTCAGTAATGAAAAAACCGTCGACAAGGACGAAAATAAAACCCCATATCCAGTAGCAGTGAAGCGAAATATCTTTGATTTGTAAGCGGGCGTATGGAAGTGTGCGGAGCGTATGGTGATTCTTGGATCTTATTGGATCTTAGCGCCTCAGCCTTGTTGAGTCGTAGGCCCAGTGGATATTTGCTCAGCGCTTGCATACCACTCTATATTTCTCGAGCAAGAGCGGCAGTCCTTCAAGAAATCCAGAAGCTTGCTTCTAAGCAAACCACATATTTTACGTATACACGATTTTGAATGGAGTACGAGTGCATGGTGCGTCCTAAAAAGGATCGATCAAAATCGAAAGATCCATTTTCATCCCATTCTTTGACAAACCTGGACACTTGCTAACCTCTTTCACATTTTGATGTGACGGTTGCAGGGTCTTAATATTCAACAAAGGGTTGAATGATGCTTGTAATTCCTTAGCAGCTCTTGCTGCTACTTTACTTTTAAAGGAAGCGATTACGATAAAGAGGGAGCGCATCGGGGAAGCATATGCACCACACGAAGCAGTTACTTGGCTGCCAAGGAAGCGAGTGTGGCGCTTTCACAACGAAAGGTGCGCTGGTTGCTGAGCAGGACTTCGAAAGCACTCCGCCCCCAAAAGCGATCCGCCCACTGTTTACTTGTTGATTTGGACGAGCTGCGTGGCCAGCAGCGGCGCAAATGGAGCATCTCGATTAAAGCGTGGTTTGGCATGGTGCCATCAAACGCGTTGCGGTGAACTCGTTCATACGTCCACTTTCTGAGCTGTTACCTGTTCATGAGTGAAAACCAACGGCCAAAAAAGGGGGTCCCGTTTTGCGTTTTCTTGACGGATTTTTCTGCTTTTTTCGCCACTGGCGTACCATTGAGCACCACCACGTCACACTAAACCCTTCTTGAATTTATCGTAATCGCTGCCTTTAATGGAAACATTTGTTATTAGTGATTTTGACCATCTGCTGCTTAACATGTGTTTTTTCCTCAGATGGTTACTTCACTGGGTTTGATGGACATGATGTCATTCTGGGAGGTTCAAGTCTATGCCATAGCTGAATGGCTGATGCATTGCAGGGAATTCGCCCAACTTCCTCTTGAACAAAAGGTATGACTTATTTCACCTTATTCACTTGTTCACCATTTTACCTATCCTTCTCCCTTTATCTCTGAACAAATATTTTTAGGTGGTGATGTTCAAGACTTCTTGGATGATGTGGCGACGCTTTGAACGAATCACAATGTCGGCGGAGTTGTTCGGATGGAAGGCGCTACACGAGAAAGTGAGAATTCGTCTTGCCTTTGGCAGGAACGACTTTGAAGACCATGATGATTTGGAGTGCGCCATGCGTTGGTATCGGGTCAATTCTA